CTCGATCCCGGGACTCCAGGATCATGACCTGAGCCGAAGGCAGTCGCTTAACCAACTGAGCCACCCAGGCGCCCCCCAGAACCCTGGGATCTTGACCTGAGCCGAAGGCAGACACTTAATGACTGAGCCACCCAGGTACCTCTGTCCCTATGATTGGACTTCCAGGAAATAATCAAGGACATTTTGAATAACGACAAAAATAAAAAGGAAATAATCTAAATGTCTCACAGAAAAGCCTTATGCAATCATTAAAAGGTAATTGTACCAAAATTTTATGAAGATAAAAGTAAAATTTTGTAAAAGATAAAAGGTATCTATCAATATTTATGTAGAAAAAAAGACTAGCAGAGAAGGGTGCCTGGCTGGCTAAGTTGATAGAGCATGTGACTCTTGGTCTCAGGATCTTGAGTCTGAGCCCCACTTTGGTTGTAGAGATTACTTAAAAACAGAATCTTAAAAAAAAAAAAAAAAAAGAGGGGCACCTGGGTGGCTGTCGTTAAGTGTCTGCCTTCAGCTCAGGTCATAATCTCAGGGTCCTGGGATCGAGCCCCGCGTCGGGCTCCCTGCTCAGTGGAGAGCCTGCTTCTCTCTTTCCCTCTGCTGCTCCCCTTGCTTGTGTGCTTGCGTTCTCTCTCTCTCTGTCAAATAAACAAAAAATCTTTTTAAAAAAATAAAATAAAAAATAAAAATAAGTTCCTGATAAATGTTTTAAACACATACATATACACATATATTGATACATACATATGTGCACATACACAAATAAGGCCTTATTTGTGAAAACTTGCTCTATAGCCCCTTATAAGACTTCAAGTTGAGAAATAAAATTATAAATGTGACAAATTCTCTATTGGAGGAGTAAAAGCTGTTCTAGCCCTGTGGCTCTCAAATTTCAGTGAGCTTCAGAATTATCTAGAGTGCTTGTTAAACCACTGACTCATGGACTCTATCACCAGAGTTTCTTATTCAGTGGGTCTAGGGTGGTGCCCAGGTATTTGCACTTCTACCAGATTCACAAATATAGGTGACGTGGTTGCCCAGGGGACCACCTTTTGAGAACGATTCTCCCAGTTCTGTTCTCCAGCTCAGGGTGAGAGTAAATCACTCACCAACAGGAGCTTGAAGTGTGTAGATATTATCTATATTTGGCACAACTGTGAAATATGAGATTTGCTCAATATCTGTTCATTTTATGAGACAAACAGCCTCACATCAATGGGCCCTGCTTGAGTCCAGTAATGGACAGAGAAGTAGGACTGGAGCATTAATGGGATTAGAAGAAATTGTCATTCCAGTGTAGAAGCTGCATTCAGGAAACCCACTGTAGGCATTTTTGGTATTCTCATGATGAGAACTATGTTACTATTGCTATGTCAGTAAATTTCTTTTTTAAGATTTTATTTATTTATTTGACGGAGAGAGACACAGCGAGAACAAGAACACAGCAGGGGGAGTGGGAGAGGGAGAAGCAGACTCCCCACTGAGCAGGGAGCCCAATGCGGGGCTCGATCCCAGGACCCTGGGATCATGACCTGAGCCGAAGGCAGACGCTGAACGGACTGAGCCACCCAGGTACCCCGCTATGTCAGTAAATATTTATTGATCACTGGGTCTCAGGACTTTGTTACTTGCAGAGACTACAAAGGTGAATAGCAATGATACCCACCCTCAAAAACAGGGCCATCCTCTAAGTTATGTGTGTGCAGTATATATATTACTAGACAGTGATGTATGGTATTGTGATTTGGGACAATATTTCCCTATAGTTATACCCCAGCTGACACATTTAAAGTGTAATATAGCAGGCTCTTGGCTTTGACTGTTGGCACTTTTCTCGAGTCCTATCTTTGCCATGACGCAAAGATAGAAAGCTGGAAGTTTTCTATAATATCACCATTCCAGAAATCCTCCAGATTTCCTGCAGTATTTAGGCATTCAGTATTCAGTGTTCTTACAGTGTTCACAGAGATAGCTCAAGTACTCAACTAACCTTTGTTAGAATGTGAAGGAAATTTGATGTTATAAACTACACGCTTTAGTTGTCTGTGTTATAAATTCAGTTATGTGTTTCTTGGGGTTTTTGGCAAAGACTTAAAGCTCTAAACAAGACTCTGTGATTCTTGTTTTCCTACTACTTGTAGGAATATTGTTTTTCTTTGGCAGCTGGCCCTGAGGAGTACCTTCTGGCAGGTTCAACCTACCCTTACTTACCTTCTTATGCCAATTATTGATATTTAATTAGATTTCCAGAGGAATGAGACCTTTCTTGCCCAAGTTCCTACTCACCACACAGCTCCCTCCTCACTTACCACTTCTCTCATCCTTCAGCACCCAGGAACTATGCAAGGTGTTAGGGATAAAACTGCAAAGGAGACAGACAGGTCTCTGCTTTCATGGAACTTTCATTCTGCTGAGAGACAACCAAACAAAAATTTAAGTCAAAACGACTTAACTGGTGCTCCTGGCACTATTCTAGGATTTTTTTCTGCCTGTTTTTTCTCTTCCTTCCATATGGATCTATATGCGGTCCTACAGTAACTAAGTGCTGGGCTCTGAGTTGGAAAGCCTGAACTGCATAGGATTCTGGCTCTGCTACTTCAAGCTGGGTGACCAAGTTGCCCAACCATTCTATGTCTCATTTTCTTCATCTGTAAAATGGGGACAATAATAGAGGTTTTGTGAGGATCAAGGGCTTAGCACAGAATCCCCAGATAATAATCACTCGATGAACATCTGCCATTGTTCTTTTCTGTATTTGCTACCCCTTCTACTTTATTATTATTTTTTTATTTTTTTTTATTCATATGACAGAGAGAGAGAGATAGAGAGAGAGGGAATATGAGCAGGGGAGAGAGGCAGAGGGAGAGGGAGAAGCAAACTCCTCACTGAGCCAGGAGCCTGATAAGGGGCTCGATCCCAGGACCCTGAGATCATGCCCTGAGCTGAAGGCAGACGCTTAACCATCTGAGCCACCCAGGCGCCCCTCTACTTTCTTATTCTAAAGCACCCTCTTCCAGTGCACAGCCACCCCCTTCCCACCCCTATAAAAATGATGAAGGGAGAAATTTTATGTTGGGAAATTTCTATCTTTTCACATTTTTCCCCCTTGGAAATTGGAAAGAGACTCTCAGTATACAACTTTAGTAGATTCCCTAGGTTCAACTCACAGAATTCTGATCTGCCATTGGAAAATTTTTTTTTTTTTTAAAGATTTTATTTATTTATTTGAGAGGGAGGGAGAGAGAGAAAGAGAGCGCACAAGCAGGGGGAGCAGGAGAGGGAGAAGCAGACTCCCCGCTGTGCGGGGAGCCTGATGCAGGGCTCAATCCCAGGACCCTGGGATCATGACCAGAGCTGAAAGCAGACGCTTAACCAACTGAGCCACCCAGGCACCCCTGCCATTGGAATATATATGCTTACACATTTGAATATGCTTAACTACTTTTTATAGGAGCTCCTCCTTTGCCTGAAGGTGATTTTGTAATTTAGCATAACTTTGGAGAGGAAGGATATTGTAAGACACACCTGTCGCCCAAAAGCTAATGACTAAACAACCATTTGATTATTGGAGGCCCTCAAATATTAATAAGGGTAAGTTTAACATGACATATTCCTTTTTGATGGTTCTCCAGTCTTATCAGGCTGGGAAGGTACGTGATGGCAAAAGAAGACCTAGGTTCAGGAGAGCAAGGATAGCATCTCTCTTTCTCTATAGTACCTGGCATAGCACCCAGCTTGTTCATTCCCTGGCATACAGTAGAAGCTCAATCAACACTACTTGCCAGCTGCGTGATTTTGGGCAAGTTACTTAACTCCTTTGACCATCAGTAGCAAATAAATACTACACCTATTTGGAAGGGTTTGTTTAAGGAGAAAATGAGCTAATATTAGTAACGTCCCGCTCAGTGCCTGTTGCAGGGCAGTTGGTTCTCTTCCCCTTTCACTTCTTGTGTATTTCTTACCCACCCCAGCCTGATTATAAGTTATTTGAGTCAGGGACTTTGCCCAGTGCCTAGCGTATGACCTTACACATAGGGATAGCTTCAATTTATTCATTCAGTGAATCTTTGAGTACCTACAATGGACAAAAGCTTAGAGTTGATAGAGAGCTGGCACATTCAGGAACCCCAAGTAATTAAATATGACTGAAGCAGACATTTCCAGGAGGAAATGATGAGAAAGAGCTAGAATGGTTAGCCTGGATTAGCTCTCAACGGGCTCTGTAGGTCTTATAAGAATTTTGGACTTTACCCTTCAAGGCAGAGGATTGCCACTGAACCAAGGAGTGGCAAAAACTTTTGTTTTTACTTTATTTTTATTATTATTATTATTATTTTACTTTCTTTTAAAGATTTTATTTATTTATTCGACAGAGAGAGTGAGAGAGTACAAGCAGGGAGGAGTAGTAGAGGGAGAGAGAGAAGCAGGCCTCCCGCTGAGCAGGGAGCCTGATATGGGGCTCGATGCGGGTCTTGATCCCAGGACCCTGAGATCATGACCTGAGCCGAAGGCAGACG